CAACGTGGTCGATCGGGACCGTGGTCAATTGCAACGTGGTCAAGTGAAAAGTGAAGTGAAAATGCTGGTCTGGTCGACGACGACGACGACGACCGGGACGAAGACGACCGGGACGAAGACGACGACAAAGACGTTTCTTAATCCAAAATTTAACAAATCTGACTTTTGCATTGCAATACCTCCACTCCTGGAGCACGTAGGAGAAAAGTAAAAACACTTTTATTATGCAAATCGTACCCAAGCTATCGATTAAGCGCAATCTCAATTTCGTCGGATCAGCCGTTGTTGAGATCCGAAAATCTGAGGGCCCGTCAACTCGTTTACTCGCGTAAACTTACACGGTCGGTCTCGCACGCGTGTACTAGCTACGCTTACACTTGGCGCGAGACACTACCGTGTCTCGTGATCCGTTCAAGGTACGACAACAGACATCCGTTAAATGTCCATTTCACGTCCACGGGCGTTCGGACGTAAATTGGACTTAAACTGGACGTCCACAGGACATCCTGTGCTATCTGGGTACTAACAGCTAACATTTTTGCAGCGAGAGCTATTACTTTTATAATAGTGGCAAAAGGTTTTACTACTATTACAAAAGTAATAGCTCTCGCTGTAAAAATGTTAGCTGTTAGTATATGGTAGCTAATCTTTCTTTTCCGTGTAAGAAAACATTCTTGATTTTTATGTTTACTTTTTGTTTATTATTTTAACACCACACATTATTTTATAATTATATAATTTCTATGATACGCACGGAAAAAAATAATTTTGCTGTTGCAGCGAAATTGTTGCTGCTACTTGAATACTGCATACGTATTTGATAAGAATGTGATGGCGATACGAAAATTTCTTTATTATACATTATTAAAATTATTCACCTTTACAGCAGAACGTTTGACTGAACAGAAATTCTTTGATTTCTTTAGCATTTCGCACAATTATTTTTCAATAAAATTAGTGTTCTTAACACAGAGTTGACCATAAAAGAGAAAATAACTTTATTATAAAATAACAGACAAAATTTACTTAAATTTACATATGGTATACTGTGCTAGCAAATTATTTTTCTCCTCGTGATGTCAGTGAGTGAGACAAGTTTTCAACTTGCCTGCACAGCCCTGAGATCTAAGCAGCTGCCCTCTCGTGCCGTTCAGTGAACTAAAGTCGCAGTCGGTAATCCAGCTCTCATGGTAAAAAGCTGGTACAGCAGTTAAGATTCACTGTAATAAAGAACATCTAAGGAAAACCATATTGGATGAGGACATTTACAATTAGGGATAATAGGTGCTTTCCAACAATGAAACACTGTGTCGTCACTGTGTAACACAGTGTTACACAGTGTCGACTTGTAGCTGGAACGCTGTTTAGCTTTTTTGTGTTACCGCCAGGGTGCAGAGTAAGTCTTTCCCGTAACTTATCCCTAGGACTGTATTCAGAATTGCGACGAGTGCGATAATCTATTTTACCATTTTATTAAAGGACATGAAGGAAGAACACGACAAGACCGTGAGGAAGAATAATTCAACCAACATTAATGCGTGTCAAGGTGAGTAATAAACGAAACACAGATTTCTGATTTAGGGCGTTTTCCAGCAAGGACACAATGCGACGCAGTGTAACACTGTAAATCATTACATCCTTGTTATTTGCCAATGTTAAACAAGGATGAAACGATTCACCGTGTTACACTGCGTCCTTGCTGGAAAACGCCCATTATCTTATTTATAAATATGAGATATAAAAATAAGATAAGAGATAAAAAATCGATGAATTTACAATATATGAATTACATTATTATGAAAAAGTATAATAGAAAATAAATAATTTTTCTGTATGTCGGTTTTAATATAAATTAAATATAGTAAATGTTTATAATTTTATTTACAAAATTAATAAGTTTGATTAATTAAACAATAATCTTTGTTTAGATGGATGTAAAAGAAAAGATAGCGGTTAATATTATAATGGAAAATATACTAAACACCAGTGCAAGTACAGAGAATTCTCTCTCAAGCACCAGTGAAATAGATTGGATCAGTAGTTCTTCAGTTACATCTTCAAGCAGTGAAGACAACGATAATTATTCATTGTTGTTTCCTCTAATGAAGTATTTAATCAGTGGGCGTAAGAGACATCGGGTCGAACATTACCTCGATATTGTGGATAGCTGGACGAACTTGGAATTTAAGGAGCATTTGCGAATTGAGCGTACCACAGCAATTCGATTAATAGGTAATATTCATTAAAAAAAGATATAATTTTTATTTTTAAACATGATTTTACAATATTTAAAGTGTATAAGTGTATATTTTTATATATTTTAGATGAATTACATGGAAGTATATTTATTCCTTCGCATTCATTTGGAATGAAACCAATTGAAGCAAAAGTCAGTTTTCTTATATTTTTATGGCACATGGCAAATACGGAACCTCTACGAACTATATCAGATAGATTTGATGTTTCCATTTCATCTGTTTTTCGAGTAATTCGTCGAGTAACAGCATGGATTTTGACAAAATTAGATGACGTTATTAAATGGCCTCAAGGAAGACATATTGCGTACGTTTGTCATGAGTTTTATACTAAGAGAGGTATTCCAGACATAATAGGAGCTATTGACTGCACTCACATTAGAATAGAAAAACCTAATGTAGAAAATGCTAGAGATTATTGTAATCGAAAAAAATACTTCTCTATAAACTTACAAGCTGTCGTTGATGCAAATATGAAATTCACTAACATTTATTGTGGTCAGCCGGGTTCTCTCCATGACGCACGAGTCCTAAGAAAATCGGAATTGTACAAATCAGCTAATGAACATAGAGAAGCAGTTTTTTCAAACAGAAAATTTATACTCGGAGATTCTGCGTATCCATCGTTACAGTGGCTTGTACCTCCATTCCGTGATAATGGTCACCTTACTCCTCAACAGGCTGAATTTAATTTCATACATTCTTCAACTCGTATGGTTGTAGAAAAAGCATTTGGCTATCTGAAAGGACGTTTTCGACGAATTAAATTCTTTTCAGATTACCGTGAAATGCCATTTATTACAAACACAGTTGTAGCTGCATGTATCTTACATAATTTATGTTTAAATTGTAAGGATAATAATTTCAATGATGATGTGGAAATTGAGGAACTAAATAATGTAAATGATGACCCTAACGAAAATATAAATTGCGAATACCAGGTAGATCGAAGGATGGAATTATTCAGGGAAATATTTGACCAAGAATAAACAAAGTATACTGATTTATAAGTTGTAAACAAATGTATTTAACTACAGTATATACTAATAATTACAATTAATAGCAAGTTGAGAAAATTACAAAAATTCGTTTCGTAAAAATTTAGTTGTTAAGTATTAGAATTAATAGTAATTATTATGGAATGTTTCTTAAATAAAAACTTACTTTGTAAAGAAATGATTGGTAGTTTTACATATAATAACGTCCTATTCTTGAGATCACAGAGATCACAGATAAGTTTTGTACTCACACAAATTTTTTACATATAATAATCTCTTGTAATAATTATACTTCAAATGTTTTATATATTGCAAACTTTTTGATGTTACATGCTAAATCACAATCATTTTAATTGCAATTAAGAGAAAGTATTTTTATTGAATATGACAAAGAAAAAATAGCACAATATTTGACAAAAAAAACTTTATAGTGCAAAGCGATCATTAAAACTTAGGTGTTACTAATAATAATTGAAAATAACTAAACATACATAGTAATTTATGATATATATTATTTCTCTTTAACACTTATTTTTATTCAGTCTTTTTCAAGTCACTGCCCAAAAATAACGAACAATTGATTTTCTCTTTAATACTGGTGCCAGAATATTGATAATGACTTAGTATTCATCAGAATCATCGGGGATTGTGACATTTGCTTGATGTAACATTTTTTTCAGTAAATTACATTTTGTTTCTTCTATTCTTATGATCTCAGCATGTCTGTTTTCTTTGTCCTTCAATTTTTTATACAATAATTCTCTTTTTTGTTCTAGCTGCTTTTGCTTCCTCATAGAGGAAGCTTTGTTTTCGTGAAAAAATTTTTTTTCCAGTTTTCTTTGAAAATATGTTTAGAATGTTCTAAAACGTTCAAAAATCACTTTAGAAAAAATGTCGTTATGTATGTATGTATGTGTGTATGTATGTATGTATGTATGTATGTATGTATGTATGTATGTATGTATGTATGTATGTATCCATATAAGTTTACTCTAAACAACTTTTTAAATATGTAAGATGAAAAAAAATGTTAAACATGAAAGTTGTACGGTTTCAAGTAATGCATTACATAGTAATATAAATATGACCTTGAACAGCTACCTCAAGGTCACGTAAAGATGACCTTGAAATTTTTAAATGGAACCCCTTTTTTTAAATGCATATTCTTATAGCTTACCTCAAT